GGAATAAACAGGGCACATCTTCAGAGAGGCAATTTACTCAATTAGAAAGGATATCTATTTTTCATATTAATGCAACAAATACAGATATAAACTAAGTAGAATGCAAAATGAACTTGGATTTGTGTCTCTGGTGTGTGCATGCACATGTGTGTATGCATGTTCACATGTGTGAGTGACGCTACGTGTGTGCATGGATGTAGAGACCAGAAATTGACAATTGTTCTCGATTGTTCTCCACCTTATATATTGAAGCAGGGTCTCTCACTTAAACCCAGAACGTACTGATTTAACTAGTTTAGCCTAACCAGCTTGCCCTGGGGATTCCGTCTCCATCTCCTGAGCACTGGAATTACAGGCAAGTCACTACACCCACCTAGCAATTGCATGGGTGCTGGGAATACGAACTCAGGTCCTCACAATTGGATGGCAAGTGTTTTACCCACCAAGTCATCTCCATAGTCTCCTCACTTTATATTTATTTAGGTTTTTTGACACACAATTTCCCTGTAGCCACAACTGGCCTAGAACTCTGTATATAGACCAGGCTGGCCTCAGTCTCTCAGAGATCCACCTGCTTCTGCCTTTAGATTGCTAGGATTAAAGGTATGTGCCACCACACCTGGCTCTCACTTGAAATTTTTTTTTAGATATTTATTTTCATATACGTGTATGAGTATTTTGCCTGCATGTATGTAAGTGCATCATGTCCTGCAATGCCTGTGGAGGTAAGCAGAGGGCATCAGAGCCCTTGGAACTGGGGTTACAGACAGTTGTAAGGCCCCATGTTGATGCTGGGAACCCAATCTGGGTCCTCTGCAAGAGCATCATGTGCTCTTAACTGCTGAGCCATCTCTCTAGCAACCACTCACTTGGATTTTGACAACAAGCACAGCTTTTCCCCTGCCTTGCTCTGCATCTTTAGCCTTCTTCCTCACGCTCTACCTCTAGGGACACAAGGACAGGTGGACAAACCCTTGCAATCAGGAGCTCCTCAGAGTGGAGTGCAGAAAAATAGGGGCGCCCAGAGATGCCCCTTATACTTGGAGTCGTCACTACCAGTAACCTTAGGCACTGGATCCCTTGGGTCCTGTGTTGGTAAAAACGGGGTTAACAATGCCTATATGCATGAGTGGGATAGCAAACAAGATCATATATGTGAAAGAGCATCTAAATAATACATGCTTAATGCTTGGTTATCAGGGGCCAAAAAAACAGGGCTCAAGAGGCCACCATCAAATCTCTCAGGTTTTTGTACGGGAGGAAATAAGAACTTGTAACCTCTCAGCAGTGACTTTTCTTTTTTTTTTTGAGACAGAGTCTCATGTATCCCAGGTTGGACTCAAACTTTCTATATAGCTGAAGCTGATCTTGAACTTCTGATTCTCCTGCCAAATGCTGGCATTACAAGCACATGTGCGACCATGCCTGGTTTACTCAGCACTGAAGATCAAACCCAGAAGTTCATGCATGTTAGGCCAGTGCTCTACCAACTGGGCTACATCCCCAGCCCCTCATAATAGTAAGTTCTTTAAAAAAATATTTATTTTATGACTGCTTTGCATGCATGCAAGCGTACTTGTGTGTGCAACACCTGTAGAAGCCAGAAGAGGCCATCAGTTACCAGCTGCTATGTGGGTTCTGGGAACAGAACCCAGATTCTCTGCAAGAGTAACCAGTACTCTTTAACTGCTAAGCCATCTCTCCAGCCCCAGGAATAATTTCCAATGGCCATTTTGTGCTGATGAAGGGTCATGACTTTAAAATCAGCCTTTACTCTAAATCATATCCTGGCTGTCCTTCAGGTTTTAGCCATAATTTTTTCCTTTACTTAGTACATAAATTTTCTAAGAGTTGGGTCCATGACCAACCTATCTCAGCCCAATATTATGTCATTGCTATATAAGTATTTGGTCTGGGGCATCTTCTGTGTGTAGCCTGGCTCTGTGCATATTCTTTTTTTTTTTGGTCTTTTTGAGACAGGGTCTCCCTGTAGCCCCAGCTGTCCTGGAACTCACTATGTAGACCAGGCTGGCCTCGAACTCACAGAGATCCGCCTGCCTCTGCCTCTCAAGTGCTGGGATTAAAGGCGTGCGCCACCATACCCGGTGTGCATATTCTTTTAATCCTTCCTTGGGTGTATGTCTACATCCCCAGCAGCCTGAAAATTACCCAAAGTGCAGGGTTTTGCCTTTTTAAAAAAGAGCCTAAATACTGTAATAACAAGCCACTTGACTAATTGCCATTGATGGTTTCTAACAGAAATGTGTGAGAAAAAAATGTTTTTGATTGGGAAAGGTTAGGGGTAAATCTTTAGTATTCTTAATTTCTTTTTAACAACCCATTAGAAATCCTTCCTCTGAGAGTATATCTAAATCTTTTGGAACTTTCTGAGGTAACACATTAAATTAGCAGAATTACTATTTATATTTTACAGTGGCAGTAAGGAGCAAACCATAAGTGTAGCTGAGTAACAGTCCTGCTGGTCTGGAGTTCAGTCTAGGCAGGGGGTTTTGAAGTATTACAATAGCAGTTAGGCTTTATTGAGAGAGCTGTATGCCAGGAACTGTTCTACATCATTTAATCTTCCCTACTCCGAAATGATGCAGGTTATTACCATTATCAACCCTATTTTACAGATGAGAAAATTGATGTGAAAAGAAGTTAACCTAGGGATGGTGAGATGACTTAGAGGGTAAAAGTGCTTGCTGTGCAAGCCTGACAAACCCGAGTTCAATCCCTGGAACCCTGAGGAAGGAGAGAACAGAGTCCCACAAGCTGTCTTCTGGACTTCACCCATGTGCTTGGTATGCTTGTGGCCTGTTCTCACACACCATACGATAATAATAAATTTACTTAAAAAAATGGGGCTGGGTGTGGTGGCGCATGCCTTTTATTCCAGCGCTTCATCCCCAGCATAACTTTAATCCCAGCACTGAGGAGGCAGATTCAGGTGGATCTCTGTGAGTTCAAAGCCAGCCTGGTCTACATAACAAGTGCCAAACCAGCTAGGGCTATAGTGAGACCCTGTCTTGAAAAAACGAAAACAAGCTAGATGTGATGGCACATGCCTTTAATCCCAGCACTCAGGAGGCAGGGGCAAGCAGATCTCTGTGACATCAAGGCCAGCCTGGTCCATATAGTGAGTTCTAGGCCACACAAGTAGAGCCTGTCTCAAAAAAGACCAAACAAACAAAAAACAAAACAAAACAAAAAAGAAAAAGAAAGATAGGACTGGAGAGATGGCTCAGCAGCCAGCATGTGTGTGCTGTTCTTACAAAGGACCTGAGTTCAGTTCCCAGCATCCATATCAGGTGGTTCTGAACTGTTTATAATTCCAGCTCTAGAGCTGGTGCTCTCTTCTGGCCTCCAAGGGAACCTGAACTTACATGTACATACAGACAGACACAGACAGAAATGAAAACACAGACACATACACACACGCACACACACAATGAAAAATAAAATAGAAATAAACAGAAGAAAGGGCAGGCAAGATGGCTCAGTGACAAAAGGTTCTTTTGCCAAAGCCTGATGACCTGAGTTTGATTTCAGGGTCTAATCTAACATGGTAGAAGATAACTGAGTCCCAAAAGTTGTTCTCTGATCTTCACGTGCATGCACCCATCTCCCCAAAATAAATGAACAAATAAAGGTAATTTTAAAAATTAATTTAAAAAGACATTAACAGTTGCTTACCTTTATAGATCAGTAAGTGGAAGTGCCAAGAATTGGAATCATGACTTCCACTTTTTTGTTGCTGTTATTTATTTATTTATTTATTTATTTATTTATTTATTTATTTATTTATCCAGTTGAATTTTGAGACAGGGTCTCTGTATAGCCCCAGCTGACCTGGAACTTGCTATGTAGGCCAGGTTGGTCTTGAACTCACAGAGTTGCCTGCCTCTACCTCCTGAGTGCTTGGGATTAGAGTGTGCCACCAGGCTGGGTTTATGACTTCCACTTTTAATCACCTCCAACTTCCCCTCTTGCCAGTCATAAGAGGCCTCACTGAGCTCTGAATTCCCCTAAAGGGGTTAAAAGATAAATTACTGGGGCCTTTTGAGTTGCTTTCCTTTTGTCCTCTAGGCCTCCTTCACCAGCCTCTAAACCAATCCCTAAGGGATCATGACCTTCCAAGCTTTGCTGGGAACTCTTATATATGCTGTATACATACCTATTATAACCTTACTGACACGCTGCCCTAGAGTTGCTTGTTTTTTTTTTTTTTTTTTTGGTCTTTTTGGGACAGGGTCTCCCTGTAGCCCCAGCTGTCCTGGAACTCGTTATGTAGACCAGGCTGGCCTCGAGCTAAAAGAGATCCGCCTGCCTCTGCCTCCGTAGTGCTGGGATTAAAGGCGTGCGCCAGTACACCCGGCTTCACGTTATTTAAGGCGGATCTCTGTGAGTTCGAGGCCAGCCTGGTCTACATGGCGAGTTCCAGGCCAGCTGAGGCTACAGGGAGACCCTGTCTCAAAAAAGACCAAAAAAAAAAAGTTGTGAAGCCTCTGGTCCATCCCCCTCGGTGACCTCTGCACGTTCTCCCCTCGTCCCTCTCCTCCCAACACGGCTTAAGCACGTGCAGGTCCCTGTGGCCTCGCCCTTCTCCTCGCGGTCCCTCCGCCCCCGCCCCAAACATCTCCAGCGTCCCCTAGCGACGGGGCGGCGGCTCCTAGCAACAGCATCTCGGCGCCCTAACGACGGCGGCACGCAGAGCGACGTCAGCGCGCCTGGCCCCGCCCCCGCGCCACCGGCCCCGCCTCCCCGCGCCTCGTCCGCCG